GTTGGTGGTGTGTATTGACTTTGAGAGTTAATGAGTTACGGGAGTCAGTAAAAATTGTAAAAGAGGAAGAGGAAAGTGAGTATATGTGTTTTAGGGCAAAAAGGAGTGCATACAGTTCTGTAGTAAGGACACTGGATTCAGGAGGAAGGGAATATTTGAAAGTACGAGTTGGGAATATTACTGCAAAACCAGCACCAGAGGTGGATTTGGAGCCATCAGTATATACGTGTATACTAGAGGAATGGGTGGAGACATGGTCAAGGAAATAGATGAGAAGGACAGCAGGAGGAATATTTGATTTTGGTGGGTCGGGGAAAACAGAAGAGCAAATATGGGGGTGAGGTATAAGCCATGGAGGGACGGAATGGACAGAGAACGGGAGAGGTTGGAGATGGGGGAAATGGGAATGGGAGAGGAGGGTATCCATGCGAGTGGAGAAAGGAGTAGGTAAGCGTGGAGATGAAGCTAAGGTAGGAAGTAGGGATTGTGGGATAGTTAGTTTAGTGAGGGGAAGTTGGTGGAAACGAACATAACATCAGAGTGAGAGCAGGGCACGACGTCGAGATAGAGATGGTATGCCTGATTCAGTATACAGGCTCTCAACTGGAGAGGAGCGGAAGGCGCCTAGTGCTAAGCGAAGACCACAGTGATGGATTGTGTGAAGATGGTCAAGGAGAGAAGTTGAGGCAGAGGAGTAGATATGGCATCCATAATCAAGAGTGGATAGGATCAAAGTAACATGCAGATGAAGTGTTTTGCGATCTGAGCCCCATGATATATGGGATAGAGTTTTTAAAATTCGAAGGCGGCAGAGAGCTTTTTCTTTAATATGTAGAATATGGTCTCGCCAGGTCAGTTTGGAGTCAAAAATGACGCCTAGGAATTTGCCAGAGGAACGGCATTGGAGTGGAGTGCCATATAAGAAGAGTGGGGGTAGGGGACCTACACGTGCGCGAGAGAAAAGGATGGAGAAAGATTTAGAGGTAGAAAAGCGGAAGCCATGGTTTGTGGCCCAGGAAGATACTGATGAGATTGCAGATTGAAGAAATTGGTAGAGATTTGGTATGGATGTGCCAGATGCATAGATGGTTAAATCATCAACATATAGTGATGACCGGGCTCCTGGTGGTAAAACTGAGACAATATCATTAACAGCTAGAAGGAATAAAGTGGTACTGAGCACACTGCCTTGTGGGACACCTTCGATTTGAGGAAATGGTTAATGGTTAATGGTTAAAAGCAAGATAAATGTGCTAGACATCTAAGGTCATGTAGCACTATAGTTAATGTTAGTGAAGGGTGGTTGATTTAGTGATTAGTTGTCTAAGCTGGGCAAAGGAATTAGTGAGTGAAAGGGTTAAGGTCGGGTGTTATATTAGATAAAGGGTATGCATAAGAAAGGTTTCTTGAAGGCATACAATAGATGGGTTATAAGAGGAAAGGATATGATGGTCAGGTCTGTGGGAGCGGAAACCGCGAATATTCCAATGAAGGATAGTTATACTTTCGTTGAATTAGTGATATAGATTGTAGTACGCGTTGGAGAATTTGAAGGGGAAGCAGCTAGAGGGTGGGATAAGGACTGAGAGGTTTGAGATGAGAGAGGTGTGGGAGTTGGTGTTCTATCAGGAGGGGTATTAGGAGATGGAGGGTCTGAGGAAGGGGATACTTGTGACATAAGGGATTCACGTGCGTATCCAGGAGGGAGTGGAAGGGATAGAGGGGATGGTGGGAGAGTTAATGTGGGCGGGGTTGGGGTCAGGGGGGATGGGCTGTGTTGGGAGGGGGTAGGAGGGTAGGGTGTAGGGGGGATATCGTTAGGAGGATGATGGATATCAGCAGTTACTTGGAGTGTGGAAGGAGCAGGGGTTGTAGGTTGAGTGTCAGTTTTCATTAAGTAATCTTGAATATTTTCAATAGTTTCTTCTGTGGAGTTGGTTGGGGAGTTTTGGGGGATAAAGGATTTCTTGTGAGGGGGGGAAGAGAGGACTGGTGTCTCAAGAGTACGGGCAAAAGATGGTGGGGGTGATTGTGTGGTAGGGGAAGAGGGGGTGGAACGTTTGTTCTGTCTGTTACGGGGAGTGCGAGGAGGGAGAGGGGAAGGTGTTGGGGTTGTAGTGGTTTCTGGATTTAGGATGGCAAAAGAGTTGGACTGGGGAAGGTAGGTGGGGTTAGTGGGGGGGGGTTAGATGTAGGAGTTTCTGGATTTAGGATGGCAAAAGAGTTTGACTGGGGAAGGTAGGTGGGGTTAGTGGGGGGGGTTAGATGTAGGAGGGGTGGGTTTAGGAGAAGTGTTAGGATGAGCAGTATTACTGGAGTAAGGAGTAAGAGAGAATCCACGTCGACGTGCTTCCTGTCTGGCTTCACGCAGTGTGAGTCCGAGTTTGAATCTGAGAGTTGCTACCTCAGATTCAAATTTGTAGGTGGGACAGCCCCTATAAAATACATTATGGGGGCCGCCACAGTTGGCACATGTGCATGATTGTGCAGAGCAGTTAGATCGGGTATGGCCAGGTTGGGCACATAATGGGCATCTGGAACGGCAGTGTTTGGCTGGGTGTCCTAGACGCCAACAATTTTGGCACTGATGTGGAGCAGGTTGGTATGGACGAACAGGGAGGGATTCTCCTCTTATGTAGACGTTAAAGGGAAGGTCATGTCTACGGAAGGTAATTTTGGCTATGTTAGTGGGTTTCTTTCGATGATCTCTGGGGGGGATGGAGTAGCATTGTACTGATGTTGCATCGTAGTCTGTGAGACAGGCAAGTAGATCTTCTCCACAATCTGACCAATCTTTGTCATAGATTGGGCAATTTGTTGGTGAGATTGAGACTGTTCCGGTGCAAGTATTGAGGGTTGGATGGGGTTCTGCTAGGATGGGGTTACCATATAGGTCAGTTAGTTTTGTTAATGCTATGGCTTGGTTTTCGGATGTTACTGTGACAAGACGCGAGCGGTCGGGTCGGCTACGGAAAGAGACTTTACCTACTTGTTTTTGGAGGCATTGTTGGAAGAGAAGGGTGTTGTTAGAGTAGGGAGCTGTGGGAGGGATCACGAAAAATCGGTCCCATTTGGCTGCACTGAAGAGAGTATTCAAGATTGTTTTAGAGATAGGGGTGGTAGAAGGGCGAGGGCGTGACGAAGATGGAGTAGTGTTGATGGAGGTAGTGTTATGGAGAGGTGGGCTATAAGGCTGTAAGGTATTAATAAGGGAGGATGGGGTGGTTGATGTTGGAGGTTGTGGGGGTAGAGGTGTTGAAGTTGGGCATGCTGGGAGAGTGGAAATGTCCCTTGAGGGTTGATTGTTGGCTACTGTACTAGTAGGCATTGGTGAAGGGGCAGTTATTGCAGTGTTCGGAGCCGTGGTCAAAGGAGAGCCTGGGGTCGGGGAATCGGGTGGGTTTACTTCTTTGGGGCTATTTGATAAAGGGGCAAGCCTCATTGCCCCTAACAGTGGGGATATATTTTCATTACTGGCCATGGTAAGCCTGGATTATGTTGGGGATAAAAACTGTCCACCCCTCAGGGTCCCCTTGAGGGGTAAGGGCTAGATAACTAAAATCAGGGGAATACCGTGCCCATGGCTCCCTCAGGCCGTTCAGGACTGGCACAAAGTCAGCCTTTCATCCTTTCAGCACGGCTCTCACACCTTAGGAGGTGGATAGCAGAAGGGTTTGGTGAAGGGACAGAAACAAAAATGGGAAGGGAAAAAAAGACCATGCATAATTAGTTGAATCGAGGGCTGAGTCCCAAGGTTGGGGAGTTCCCCATCATTGGGTCCCAGTCTCCGCCTCCTAAGCCCCCCCACGACAACAACGGGTAAGGGATTGGGGGGGGGGGGGGGGGGGCAAGCACTGATAAGATTGGAGGATAATAGGTGGTAACAAAGATTTAACCCCTTGGTGCCGGGTATGACGTGTACATACGTGCTATGCCCACAGTGAGTACTTGTTTGCTTGTTTTTACACATAGATGGCAGCACTTGTACTAACTCCCCGTCTCGCCCGTTTACCCGTTTTTGATTTACAAAATATTTTACGTAATCTTATTTTGCCGTAACTAATGTTAAAAAAAATTATAAAAATTATGTTCGATAAAAATAACACCATCGATTTTCATAGCACTAGTGAAAAATACGTTTTTCCCGCCATTTAAATCAGGCGCTAGAAGAGCCACCTATCAGCAGACATTTCACGAAAAACATAGAAAGTGGGCACATTATTTTCCCCATTTTTGTTCATATTTTCCGGAACCATTGGGTTAATACCTTAATTTTACTATGCAACATGAGCATTTTGCCTGTTGTGCATTCGGCCAAACCTCACCAAACTGTTTGTGACCATTACTTTTGCTCAGCAAGTACCCGAGTACTATGCTCAGTGTTGTGGACGTAGCACCTTGTTAGCCCCTTCCATAGATAGTGTTGCCATACGATTCATTTGTTGACCGTGACCAATGGACCAGATATGGTCTCGATGACCATTCATGGTTTTGTACAGGTTTCTATTTTTCTTGGTTTTGTACAGGTTTCTATTTTTCGTATCTAAAAAAACGAGGTTTACATTATTTTGCTCTAACTTGAATACAGTTTATCACATCCAATATCGTTTAATAAATTATTATTATAGTTATCAGTATGCCTATATGACGACCATGTAAATTATTTGTTATTCCCTTATCTCACCTTTACAGAATCGAATAGAGGGACAGTACTTAAAATTTCATGGTTGAAATATTTAAGAAAAATCCAGGTTCATAGAGCTAATTGACATATTAGTCACTGCTCAAAATCTTTAGGACTCAGTTAAACATTATTATCGTGCATATTTTTATTTTTTTCCAGGTCATGTTAGCTTATGCAACAGTTCACTAATAATACAGTTTCAGTTGGTGGTAGGGATTTATGAAGAAATATCTGACAAGGCTTTTACTTTACAAGTGAAATGTGGTATTGCTTTTGATAAAGCTTACATTATTACTGTAGTTCCATTTCTTTAAGGCTATTTTGGTTTGCCCCTAATGTAATCCACAACAGGACTATGGGAATGTCGGTCGCCATGACCGTGGGACTGATCACCATAGTCTCCGTATGGCTCATAGTTAAAAGTATCCTCATATTCCCTATAAGTGCTACCATAACTATGGCTATCATATTCTTCATAGTATTCATAGTCGCCATAGTCGTTGTGCGGGGCGTGATGGCCCTTGGGAGGGTCGCCATAGTCAATGTGCGGGGCGTGATGGCCCTTGGGAGGGTCGCCATAGTCACTGTGCGGGGCGTGATGGCCCTTGGGAGGGTCGCCATAGTCACTGTGCGGGGCGTGATGGCCCTTGGGAGGGTCGCCATAGTCACTGTGCGGGGCGTGATGGCCCTTGGGAGGGTCGCCATAGTCACTGTGCGGGGCGTGATGGCCCTTGGGAGGGTCGCCATAGTCACTGTGCGGGGCGTGATGGCCCTTGGGAGGGTCGCCATAGTCACTGTGCGGGGCGTGATGGCCCTTGGGAGGGTCGCCATAGTCACTGTGCGGGGCGTGATGGCCCTTGGGAGGGTCGCCATAGTCACTGTGCGGGGCGTGATGGCCCTTGGGAGGGTCGCCATAGTCACTGTGCGGGGCGTGATGGCCCTTGGGAGGGTCGCCATAGTCACTGTGCGGGGCGTGATGGCCCTTGGGAGGGTCGCCATAGTCACTGTGCGGGGCGTGATGGCCCTTGGGAGGGTCGCCATAGTCACTGTGCGGGGCAGTATATCCATATCCGGTGTGAACAGAGTCCTGTCCCTTGGACGGTGTTGTATATTGGGAGGGTGGAGTATCATACCCAGTGGGGGGCGTACCATAGCCGGAGGGCGGCGGGCTGTCATACCCAGAGGGGGGCGTACCATAGCCGGAGGGCGGCAGGCTGTCATACCCAGAGGGGGGCGTACCATAGCCGGAGGGCGGTGGGTTGTCATACCCAGAGGGGGGCGTACCATAGCCGGAGGGCGGTGGGCTGTCATACCCAGAGGGGGGCGTACCATAGCCGGAGGGCGGTGGGCTGTCATACCCAGAGGGGGGCGTACCATAGCCGGAGGGCGGTGGGCTGTCATACCCAGAGGGGGGCGTACCATAGCCGGAGGGCGGTGGGCTGTCATACCCAGAGGGGGGCGTACCATAGCCGGAGGGCGGTGGGCTGTCATACCCAGAGGGGGGCGTACCATAGCCGGAGGGCGGTGGGCTGTCATACCCAGAGGGGGGCGTACCATAGCCGGAGGGCGGTGGGCTGTCATACCCAGAGGGGGGCGTACCATAGCCGGAGGGCGGCGGGCTGTCATACCCAGAGGGGGGCGTACCATAGCCGGAGGGCGGTGGGCTGTCATACCCAGAGGGGGGCGTACCATAGCCGGAGGGCGGCGGGCTGTCATACCCAGAGGGGGGCGTACCATAGCCGGAGGGCGGCGGGCTGTCATACCCAGAGGGGGGCGTACCATAGCCGGAGGGCGGCGGGCTGTCATACCCAGAGGGGGGCGTACCATAGCCGGAGGGCGGCGGGCTGTCATACCCAGAGGGGGGCGTACCATAGCCGGAGGGCGGCGGGCTGTCATACCCAGAGGGGGGCGTACCATAGCCGGAGGGCGGCGGGCTGTCATACCCAGAGGGGGGCGTACCATAGCCGGAGGGCGGTGGGCTGTCATACCCAGAGGGGGGCGTACCATAGCCGGAGGGCGGAGGGCTGTCATACCCAGAGGGGGGCGTACCATAGCCGGAGGGCGGAGGGCTGTCATACCCAGAGGGGGGCGTGCCATAGCCGGGCGAAGGGCTGTCATACCCAGAGGGGGGCGTACCATAGCCGGGCGGAGGGCTGTCATACCCAGAGGGGGGCGTACCATAGCCGGGCGGAGGGCTATCATACCCAGAGGGGGGCGTACCATAGCCGGGCGGAGGGCTGTCATACCCAGAGGGGGGCGTACCATAGCCGGGCGGAGGGCTGCCATACCCAGAGGGGGGCGTACCATAGCCGGGCGGAGGGCTGCCATACCCAGAGGGGGGCGTACCATAGCCGGGCGGCAGGCTGCCATACCCAGAGGGGGGCGTACCATAGCCAGGCGGCAGGCTGTCATACCCAGAGGGGGGCGTACCATAGCCGGGCGGCAGGCTGTCATACCCAGAGGGGGGCGTACCATAGCCGGGCGGCAGGCTGTCATACCCAGAGGGGGGCGTACCATAGCCGGGCGGCAGGCTGTCATACCCAGAGGGGGGCGTACCATAGCCGGGCGGCAGGCTGTCATACCCAGAGGGGGGCGTACCATAGCCGGGCGGCAGGCTGTCATACCCAGAGAGTGAGGCATGGCCTATGTGGTTGATACCATTGCCTTTAGGAGGAACATAAGTGTTAGGTCGAGGATCGGAATAAGTAGTTTCAAAATGACCACCGTGCCCAGTTTGATGTGCGGGATGTTTGGGTGGTTTGTAATACTCAAAAAATTGTGACGTCGAGGCTTCATTGGGTTTGTGGGGTACACTGTGTGGGTGTCTTGCAGGCCTTGCTGATGTCTTCTCTCCAATTACGGAGGTAATGAATGGCAGGAAGTAATCTACATCAACAAAAGCGGTGGGCAGGTTGGGCTTGCACCCTACACCCCATGACACCAATCCTGCAAAAGTTAAATCATAAGGGTAATTCAAAATGCATGCCATTGACAAAATATCAATTGTTTTAAGTAATAATCGAGCAGTCTTGAGAAAATTAATTACCTTTTATGATGTATTGGCCTGAAGGCGATTTACAAACAAGACCGCTCCCACCATCGCCCTGTCAATGACACATTGGGAAAGGTTTATGGGTTAAAAGTCTCAATCACGCTACACATCAAAGGTCATGAACAGTATAGGAAGGTACAGAAATGAAAAGAGTAGAGGGAGGGGGTAGGGGTGAGTCAATGATTTAATGTTTTACTCGTCAAAATCCACAGGACTTTTGGATATGGTACTGAAAAGGGTGAAGAGGGTGAGTAAATGGGGCAAGGCAAAAGGCAAATGATGGATGGATGACTAGACATCAGCAAATCTGAGCCATTTTTAAAATCCAAGATAGACTTATTTAAAAAAGGTTACTAAAATATACACAATAGAATGCCTAATAAGCCTAGAGTAATGGCCCAATTTTGATTAAAATTGAGAAAAATTCATTTTATTTCTTTTATACATAGTCAACATGAGACTTGCCTGGCTGAGGGTCAGTTGCTTGATCCCTGTCAACTCCTACCTGCTTGCATGACACCCACACAAATGTTGGAAGACTGGTCATACCCCGAGGACCCCAAACTTTGCTGATATCTACATCCACTGTTACTGACTGTACCGGCAGCTTCATAAAAGGTTCGATTTCTTCAAACTTATTCCATGACTGCCATACCCACAAGTAAAGAAAGTTCCTCCAGTAAAGAAAATGCAGATAAAGCTATGAGCCAAATATGTCACAGGACTTTGTACCATTCCAGAGAGCAGTTTTGGTACATATACAGGTTTACACCGGTCTTCATCTTAATATGGGTGGACTTCTGAAAGGACCCTTGCTTTGCTAGACAGCATCCTCACTGTCACAATGATACTGCTAGCATTATCGTTGTCTAATTCTGTCTGCAAGGAACATGACTAATGAGCAAGCCAGATTTATTCAAGAAGCTTTTCGTGTTTAAATTTCTATTTGTTCCTTCAACTTCTCTTGACACCTTTCACTTACTTGGATCATGTCTCATACTCTGTCCTGGTAAAGTCAAACAACTTCAATCCACCTTGCACAGCACGACTCCACCATAGTATGGACCCCTCTCCCCCTAGCAGAGTCATCAATTGTCTTACATTGAGGCCGTGCACTGGTTAGTGGTGTGCCCCAATGACTACTGTTGGTTCCGAGTCTGATAACTGATCAGCATAATTTAAGAGGCCTCCAATTTCTGACATAAGCAACCTTACATTGTCACTTAGGGACACTGAGGACGAACAGGTCGTCAAAGAAGAGGGAGATTCTCCAAGGACGTCTGATAGGTTGGGAGGCCGGTCAAGGGAGGATAGGTGGGGGGGCGGGGGGGAAGCAGAGGTACAGGCTGCATCAAAGTGTGGACAGGACAACAATGTGTGAAACTGGAAGAGGGACATTATATAGGAAACATAGGGGTGGATCAGAGTGACATCAGATAGTGTTGGGTGGGTGTAGCCAATATGCAAGCAGGTAAGGGTCGTCTCCCAATGTATGTTCCGATGGAATGGAGCCAACCAGGAGAAGACTGATAGTTTTAAAGTATGTAATTTTATAAGAGAAGGTCTTAAAGGGAAAACAGGAGCAAATACGGGGGTGTAGTTAGTATTGCATCTACTATCTGGACTGGTGTCTTATCTCTTTGTGGAGTGGAGTGGAGTGGAGTGTGTGTGTGTGTGTGTGTGTGTGTGTGTGTGTGTGTGTGTGTGTGTGTGTGTGTGTGTGTGTGTGTGTGTGTGTGTGTGTGTGTGTGTGTGTGTGTGTGTGCCCACAGGTATGGTTGGGTGCTGAAGGTGAAGTGGAGATCAACGAGAGAACTGGCAGGCTCCCCAGTCAGATAAGGACTGGGCAGTCCTTGTGTTGATCTTACACATCCTTCTATACCATTCCCCAACTACCATTATCTCTCTTCATACTTCCTTTGTCTTGTCTATACTTGTGCATCAGAAAACCCCTAAAGTCATACCTCCCTTGCAAACCAGTCAGATGCACAGTTATTTGCATCTTTCTTCGTCGTCGGATTACACAACGAAGATAGATCCCACCCCATTGACTTTATTGCCTTTGAAAATCTAATCTTCCAACTGCAGCCACCTATTCTCATAGTTGGTGAATTTAACTGCTGCTGCACTCTTTGGAGTGATACCGTCACCAACTCCCATGGCTGATCCCTAGAACGCTTCCTCTCCACAACTAACCTTGTTCTTAATCATCCTACACACTGACACATGCAATCATTTTCATGCATTAACCTTTCTAAGCCCCACTTCTCTTCCTTTAGATTTCCATTGGTCATTTCTAGATCATTTTTCTCCGCGTTTACTTACACCTTTCTCCATTTGCATGGATGATACCCTCCTCCAACCTCTTCTGTTTTCCGTCTATTCTGTCTGTCCATGGCTTGTACCTTACCCCCTGTAGAAACACGACCAATCAACCTGAAGTTCAGCATAGTTTCCCAGGTTGTTACGGCCATGTCTGCGCTCAATGGACAGTGGGTTCCCCTAGTTCCCTGCACGTGCACACAGCGCACATCTACTTAGCTGCAGGATCCAGAACAGAGATCTGTTCTGCTGGAGGATCAGGGAAGCAACAGGAAGTGGATACTAGAAGGGGTTGGAGAAGGGAAACTTAAGCAGGAGGGGAAGAAGACCATGCAAAAATAGTCGATTCGAGGGCTGAGGCCCAAGGCAGGGTTGCTCCCTAGCATTGTGTCCTCGCCTAGTTAGCATAACCACTGTAAAAATACATTATGGGAGCCACCACAATTAGTCCGATTACACAGAGCAGTTTGAACAATCATGGCCAGATTGGACAAATGGTGGTAGGCTGTGGAGCAACAGTGCTTATCAAGGTAGCCAAAATGCCAGCATTTCTGTCACTGATGGGGGAGTGGTCAATGTGGTCAGATTGGTGAAGACTGCCAACAAACTTCATGGGGAAGGTCATGTCTACAGAAAATCTTAATACTGGTAAAGGACTTATGCTGACCTCAGAGGAATAGTGTAGCACTGTTCTGAGTGAAGCTGACAGGAATAGGGTTTGCCAGCGAGTTCATGCATGGTATATAATGCTTGAGCTTGGGACATGGATGCAACTATTTTAAGTTACGAATGATTGAACCGGATGCAGAAGGAAACTTTGCCTATTCATTATTGGAGACCTTGTTTTTAGCTCTTCATAACATGTACAAGGAAGCAGATCAACTAATGCAATCAACATTACTTCTTGTTATATCTAAATAAATATAGGCAATATTTACACTTATCTGCAAGAACTACTTATGACAAGATTAACAAGCAATGAATGGTGCTTTCTATGGAGAAAGGTCTGTACCACCCTCACCCACATCCCCTTATCCCTAAAATCTTTACTTTCACTTCGGAAGCTTAGCAATTAATAGAGTTGAGCATGTCAGTGGTATGCCCACTCATCTTGCTCACTCTTTCAGCAATTCTAATTTACTTACACATTTGAAATTTTATATCACCATACTTCAATAAATATGCTCGAGGTAATACCATTTTTCTTTTACTTTCAGATTTGTTGCAGGTTATTCATGCAATTTGCCTTCTAAATAGACAAGATAAAAGTTAGGTCATACCTAAATCACTTACCAAACACATTTTGGAATCCTTAGGCTTGGCACACAGTATACCCTCCTGAAGTCTGAAGAAACTGCCCAGGGCCGGGGAAGACCTCAGACGATACTGGCAATCTTCCCTTGTCAAAGTTTGATATTTGGAATGACGGAGGATGGAGCTGAAATCCGTGGTTGGTTTGTAACCATCCTGAAAAATGAAGAATGTATGTAAGGTATTTTCAGAGTTATGCCTCAACAGTGATTATTGGCAATGTTATGAATGCCTGTTTAAAAGATTCTCCTGATAATCTACCACAAATATTACAAATTTTCCAGGTATTCCAAAACCTAAACCAAGCTCCACAAGATATGAAAACTGGTTACAGCTAACCTACTGTTCCCATGGAACTTTATTTCGCAGATTCATTGATAAAATTTTAATTTTAATCCAAGAAGGTATTTGATGCTACTGACTTTAGCTGTTGATGCGGCAGATAATTTGAATACCAGGTGGATTGATTTATTAAAATTTGTATAAAAGCATCCCTGTGTGAGACAGGAGAAATCATTTACTACAGTCAACGCCAATTGGACCGTGTGGCATATTCTAATACTTGTACAAGCAACATTTCAGCCTGGCATACACATTTCACAAATACCCAGCCACTAAGGAATCAATTACTGGCTTCACCTGAAATAATGCAATTTAGCTTTTGAATGTTAACATTACTAATAGCAGGTAAAAAGGTAAAAGGAAATACTGGCATGACTAGTAACGGACACCTCGGTGCTTATTCAACTTTGTACAAACAAATTACAATGGACATTAGTGGGTTACAGACTACCTAGTATTCGCATTGCCAATGTGCTAAACTGACCATACCTGTGTGGGCAACACAGCAGTCCATGCAGACACTTCACAGTCATGTTCACTTGTGTGCTTGAGCTCGCCAGGAAGGCACACCCGGTTAACATTTTGGAGATGAAGTACAGGGGCTTGCAACTCCAACACGGCTACATCAGCTTTCAGGTTAGTCTTCATGTAATCTGTTAGTAAGGGAATTTAAAGTCTAGAAATATATATACCTTAAGTTAGTCCTAGATTATGAAGTATTGTAGAAGAATTTAAAATAGCAAGAAATTATATACCTGGACCAAAGAACACTTCCATCTCATAGTCTTGGATCAAAATTTAGGATTTGAAAAAGATCTTTAAAAAATAGAGCTAAGAATACATTGTTAAAGTTTAATGGTATTTTCATCCATATACATAGGGATTTGTCTCCTGTGAAAATATGTATGCACGCTACAGGCAAGAATGGAGAAAATTAATTCTAATACTACCTTAGTAAAATCACCCAATTTACTGCAAAGACTCAAAAGAGGTTTGTCTAACACTTTGTAATAAACTAGTATTTTTATGGCTCTCAGTTGTCAATGGTAAAATATGTACTAACAAAGAAAAATCTGTCCTAGGGTAAGCCGTCTGTATACCTCCCAAATTCACATGTGCAATATCACAGTATACATAAAAATGGCATAATTATTTATCATTTCCTTAAATTACAAATTACCACCTATTTCATCCCTCCCTAAAAAAGAATCCACTGACAACCTAGGTTTTGGTACAGTAAATAGCTATGGAATGCAGAAAAAAATATTCCAAAATGAGCAAATATAGTAATACTAAAAAAAAGTCCTCTTAAGTCCTCTACAAAAAGAGCCTTGGGTCCGTGAGCCACATTTGTCAAACAATCTCCTGCAATGGTTAAACAAGTCACTCCTAAGTTTGGAGTGTCTAGGCTGGATTTGAAAGATTCTGCTCAATTGCCTGTAACCTAATTTCAGCAAGGATGCATTAATCCACAGCACCAACAATCAGTAAAAAAAATGACAACTTACAACTTACCGGTGGAACACGTACACGATGCTGAACATCTACCAGACAATGGAACTGAAGGTAATTTTCATAGGTTTATGATTATATCTATATGCATCGATCACAATAGTGCAGGAACATTTACAAAAATTCACAATTTAAAAGAAAAGTTTCCATTATCTATAACCTCGGTCTCAGATTGTCTATTGCTTAAGGCGATATTTGTCATGGGCTAAAATCTATGTTTATAGTTATTCAGACATTAAAACCATGCAACCCGAGTCACTGGTGTGCCTGGGGACAGCAAGAACGCGCACAGGAACGAGGTAATTAATAGAGTGGAAACACGTCAGTGAGGAAGGATACACTGGTGTTGTCTAACACATTTTCAACTCTAACTTCATTGTTATTACTACAATCTTGAGATCGCGATGCAGATTTTGAAACATTGTATATGTAGGTGTATCAGCAAGACCCCGCAACCTGTAGTTCAGTGTACTTTCCCCAGGTTGAGTCACAGGTCCACAGCCATGTCCTCGCCCATTGGACAGCTGGCTTCCCCCATTTTATGTAAATGCATAATATTACATTTAATACATGAAACTAAGTCGTAGTTTCTCATTGTCACTTAAAAAAAACTAGAATATGGGCTAGGTTGCATTGCCAATTCTCAAAATTCAGATTCACACCACTATTAGGTTTCATGCAAAATGCAGAAACAAATTTTAATCGATTTATGGCGAGGTCTTCCCCCAAATCTTGCCCACTTCCTTGTTTGATATTTACCAAGAATTTAAGATATATTGAAGCCAATGATTCTTGATGAAAGTGAGGATGTGATGAAACTAGTTTAGCCAATAGATCTATTACTCGATATCAGTGTATGACAAGCTATTCAATAAACTGATAAAATCTACTTTTCATCTGACATTGTAGTCACTTTTTTATACATGGCCTTTTCCATACAATTGCAATTAAGTATTGGATGTTCAAATATCTCTACAATGAACACTTCCTTCAAAATGTTGCCTGTTCACATCTTAGCACATCTTGACAGTTTGAAGTCGGTCGTCTTGTTATATCAAACATGGCATTCGCTGTATTAGTTGAATTGCAACATTTATGATGCATCCTGGATATTTAAACAAGGACCCATTTCTACAATGCATGAACACACTAAAATAAAAAAAAAAAAAATGACTCAAGGCAAAAATGAAGTGCATTACTATTTTAGCAACTAGTTCAACATAACTGTTGCAGATCACTTGACTGCCCAAATTTGAGCTATACTCTACTGAGGGTATTGGCATTTTCTTGCTTGTTATAACGACTTTACTAGATGCCTTCAATGAAACATTTGTGTTCGGAACTCAGTGACTACACGAGGTTGCAGTTACTTAAAATTTAGCTGTCAGAAGTGTTTATAACCACTGTAGTAGTAGTATCAACCGAAGCAGCAGCAGCAGCAGCAACAGCAGTAGTAGTAGTAGTAGTATCAACCGAAGCAACAGCCAGCAGTAGTAGTAGTAATAGTATAAACCGAAGCAGCAGCAACAGCAGTAGTAGTAGTAGTATCAACAGCAGCAGCAGCAACAGCAGTAGTAGTAGTATCAACAGAAGCAGCAGCAACAGCAGTAGTAGTAGTATCAACAGAAGCAGCAGCAACAGCAGCAGTAGTAGTAGCAGTAGTATCAACAGAAGCAGCAGCAACAGCAGTAGTAGTAGTATCAACAGAAGCAGCAGCAACAGCAGTAGTAGTAGTATCAACAGAAGCAGCAGCAACAGCAGCAGCAGCAGCATCGGTTAATTTTCCAAAAATGACAATCGGGTCTTCCCTGACAATATTTATATCTTTCGATTTGTTCTCGTGTGATGAGAACTAATCTGATGATATTCTCCGTCGCATTCTCCAGCCGACAATCTTGATGTAACTTGATGTCCCGATAGCAGGGGAGGGCATGAAGTAGATCAGGAAATTACGGGGTAAAACGGTCTGAAATAAGCAAAATAGAGAACAGAAATGTGTAAAATAAGCATAAAAAACCCTTAATATCGGCTGATGAAACTCTACGGACATCGCCGCCATCTTTGAAAGCCTACGGACCGACGCGCCAACTCTACGGGAACCAAACCCACCGTTTGGCAACGCACCTGGGTTGTCCTTATACCCAGACTGTGTGTGGTGTGTGTGGTTATATACTCACCAAATTGTGCTAGATACAATGGTCAAGGCATCTAGAAACAACAGTGTTTAGTAAAAGTTACGAATACGGAGTGTAGTGCCAGGGTAACAGGGTGCTGTACGGACGACCGTTGACGAGACCTGGTGAGTATGTGTGACAGCACTTGACCTGACGCTCGCACCCTCCCCGCGCCCGACCGCAGGGAATTAATCACCGTAGAAGTGGACAACCATCTCCTCGCTGTCCCGTCATGGAGGGGGAGGGGGACGTGCTCGGGGCCCCCGCGTCGCCACCTACCACCCCCTCATCCCCCCACCCTAGGGAGGGGATTGATCTCACTGAACATAGGGAAATGAACGGTGTGGATTCGCCTGTCGCCCCCGTTGTGGATGACAAGGGATTCCAGATCGTTCAGAATAGGAGGAAGACAGTAAAGACCACGTCGCAACACCACACCAGCAACATGACCGCCGATGATGCAACTGAAGTAAAGACCAAAAAACGTGAACCCATCGCCCCCATTGAAAAGTACATTAGACTGGCCTTTCCGGAGGATACGACAGCCATAGACAAAATAAAGTGGATGAGGGAGCTCGGCCAGCTGATGCCCCTCCAAGGGGAAGGTCCATTAGACATGGTGCAGGGGAAATGGATAACCTCTCGCTACGTCTATGTAAGCCGAGAACAACAAAAATGCGTGGACCTCATGGTAAAGGGCACCATAGCAGGAATCTCTCTTCAGATCAAGGACGACTATCGACTAAGAAGCAAAAAATACGGGGAATACCTGGTTACCAGGTTTCCGAAAGAGGTCGCCGCAGAAGAAGCACTACATCTTCCGGGTGTTTTTAAAGTTCGTAAAATCTACAAGGACGGCCAACCCCTCAATAGGATTATTATTGTATGGAGCGGAGAACATCCGCCACCCAAAGAGTACCACTTCTTTGGACGATGCACTGAGCCGAGCTCAATTAGACCGTGGAGCTCAGATGCTGTGGTTTGCTACAAGTGCCAGGGTTATGGCCACGTAGCAAAATGCTGCAGGGAACAAACAGCCTGTGCTGTTTGTGCGGACGCTCACCGGACGAAGGAATGTCCTGCAAGAAAAAATGTAAAAGACAACGACAACAGAGACACCGTTAGCATCGTGAAGAGGTGCGTCAGGTGCGGGGAGCAAGGCGTGGCGGCCTGGCACCGCAACTGCCTCCACAAACCGCCACACGCACCCCCCCCCTGCTGCCCCGACCGTACCCATCGACCGCGGAGTGGCGATGCCCACCCCAGCCACGACCCACCCAGTGCCGTGTGACGTCACTGACCCACAGGAATTCCCGCAACTGCCAGGGGGATTCCCCGTCCCGGGAAACAGTGCCGTCACAGGAGCGACCAGCGATGAACAAAACGAGAAAGTGATTGAGGAAATAAGTTTCAGGCAAGAACTCGCTGAAATGAAAAAAATGATTATGGAAATAAAAAGTGACCGGGGAGTAGGCAGAGAAAATATACCTTCAAATGATGTTAGTCATGTTGAAAATAATATTGAAAGTATCAGGCAAGAGCTTGTTGAAATGAGAAAAATGATTATGGAAATAAAAAGTGATCGGGTAGTGGACAAGGAAAAAAATATGCTTAGTAATAATGATAGTGTTGTTGTTAGTGATGTCGAAAATACGATTGAGGGCTCTGATAATGGTATTACGCAAGATACCATCGACAAATCATCTGAAAACGGTGACGACATTAACAGTGAGAACAACATCGAGGGAGATATGCAGGAAACGGATGAACTGTGGGACACTACTCAAAATTATATCAGGTACGGATTATACGTGCAATATAAATATGAGGAAAGCGCGTAGGCTCGGTATAAACAAACAAGATGCAGCACAGATATGTAATGCTGTGCAAGAAATTTCCAGACTAAAGAGCCTAATCAAACAAAGTTGACCAATCAGCCAATCATAGGGTATGATGGGGGACAAGAA